TGCCTACTCAAACAATGTGGTGAGTTTTTCTAATGATGTTACCTACTCAAACAATGTGGTGAGTCTTTCTAATGATGTTACCTACTGGAACAGTATGGTGAGTCTTTCTAATGATGTTACCTACTTGAACAGTATGGTCGAGTTTTTCTAATGATGTTACCTACTCAAACAATGTGGTGAGTCTTTCTAATGATGTTACCTACTGGAACAGTATGGTGAGTCTTTCTAATGATGTTACCTACTGGAACAATGTGGTGAGTTTTTCTAATGATGTTACCTACTTGAACAGTGTGGTGAGTTCCATTCAGCATATACTTTCTTAAAAACTATCTCTTGTTCACAGAAAAACAAACAAGACTCATCACACTATTCCAGTAGGTAACATCATTACAAAGACTCACCACACTGTTCAAGTAGGTAACATCATTACAAAGACTCACCACATTGTTCCAGTTGGTATCATCATTACAAAGACTCACCACATTGTTCCAGTAGGTAACATCATTACAAAGACTCACCACACTGTTCAAGTAGGTAACATCATTAGAAAAATTGTGTTTAACGTATAATGAGGTTTTTCTCTTTTAAATATTTTAGTTCTTAGAATTAATGTTGAAAAAAGTACTTAAAATGAGAGTTCCATTTTTTGTATATATACATATAACATTATTTGTAGTGACATGCCTTGCTAATCAAGTGCAACCATGCACGTTTCATGAAGATGCATGCAATGTTCTTGAAATAAAAGAACTTTGAAAGGCATGCAATTTTAAGATTCACTGGTTATTTTAATCTATATAGTAAGTGTAATAGTCTGAAGAATATTTTAGGTTTTTTGTAACACAAGATTCTTAAAAGATAAATTTTTTTATGACTTACCTACTTTGTAGAATTTGACATAGAAAACAGATTGTTTTAGAAAATTTATTTAGCCTAAATTTTGGTCTTGGCATTGGATAATTCTTTGTTGGTTTTCCACATAATGTGTTTTGATGATGATACACGTTCTTAAAGAACAGTAAATTTAGATCTGTAGCATTCATAAATGCTTTGTTAATGTCATGTGATCAGCCAGTACAAGAAATATGTGATATTTATAAAATTTAGGATATTCTGTGATTAGGCAGAATCTTGAATAATGTATATAACAAAGATTTTAGAAATCTGTGTTGCAGTTTCATGTAGTTTTAAGGAAATTTTTAAGTATCAGCTTACTGATTAAAAATATGAAGTATATCAGTGTTTCCTCTTTTTTTTCAGATGGAAATCAGCCAAGACTCCAGTCTTCTCACAGACCATCTTCGGTCAGCTTATGAGACACAACTCAACCAGTTGCATGAACAGCTTCTAGCTGTTATTTTGGAAAATCAGCAGCTATGTATGTTATTTTAAACAAGTAAAAAATGTGAAATTTTGATAGTGCTTAAGCATGTAAGGCAGGCAAAGAAACTACAGTGGATTGATACATTTATCTTTCCATGTTGAAAAAAGACTGAACTTGCTGTGCATTTTGGTGCCATATCTATCTAACAAGAGATCACAAGATTGTTTCGCATCTACAGTGAATATATTAAGTTAACTCGTTCATCACTGTAAATCTAAAGCACTTAACTTAATTGAAAAAGAACTAAAGAAATGAGGAACAAAATTATTAATGCAAAAAAATGAGCTGGTAAATCGGTAGGATTAATTTTTATTCTTCTACAAAGCAAGGCAGGTTGTGATAAATGAAAAAGCTTTGACTTTGTGAACTGTATATATTAATGTATTAAGTAATTTTAAATGTTATTTTAATGTACTGTAGGCAAGAACTGACATGGGAGCAAACGACTTCTCAAATTTGACTAAAAACAAAGTTCTATAGATTGACTACTAGTAATTTTAGTCAAATAGTAAGGTTAACCTCACACAAAGACATACATAAGTTATCAAAGATTCAAACAACTCCAACAAAATAAAGATTTCCAGCTTTGCAGTATGGTTAATGTATGAAAGTGTGGCATTAGAAAAATATGAAAAAGCCATAGAAGTGAAGACAAATAAGTATAGAATTTTTGTTTGCACAATGTACCCATATTTACTTGCCATATCTGACCAAATCTTTGATGAGAACACTGTTGAAAGTGAAGTTCAAGGAAAGAAGATATTACACTGTCTGGTGTAAACTATCTTAAATTACACGAGCATATCATGTTCCAGGTAGATAGAACCATTGTTAATACTTTGAAGCTCAAGGTCAATTTTTGTGTTCCAGAAGAAGAACGTGAAATTTTATTGTGTATATGAACAAAATTCAAGAATTATATGTATAAAAAATGATGAATTTATTAATGAAATGTTAAAAAAAAGACCCACTTCAATAAAAACTATTTTCAGATCAGTTGTTTTGGATGACCACTCTTACAAAAGATATTATCAGTATAATTTTTATTAAATGTCTGCTATTAAAGAAAGACAATTCATTCATTATATAGTATCACAATTCAGAAAGACACATAAAAATTACTTCCAGTACTTCTGTTTCACAAAGTTGTTTATTAATCATAGATTTATGCACTTTTTTGATCCAATATGCTGTCTGAAATTACATGATATTTAGCAGACTTTTAATATTTCGGTGGCTAGTTCTGATTCACAATTATTCATTGGTGCAGTTCGCCACCCCTTGTCGAATGCTTGAAATGCGAATCCAAAGTTTTATTCGTTTTTTTGTCTGATTTTGGAAAATCATGTCTACTGATATTATTACAGCCTGGTACACAAAACTTGGTAGACTACTTAATACTTTTTTGAATTGTGAAATTTTGCTGTATATTAAAACTACTAGTGCTACAACTCGTTAACAAAGAATGTAACCCAATTGATTTCTAGCTCCCTCAATTGGATAAATGTGTGAAGACTAACCCTGTTGAAGATCACAATCAACAGTATGTAAAACACACATTAAATTCTACATCTTGTAGGGATGACTTTTCTCTTTGTGTCACTCTGTGTGAACTTTAACATTTCATCAAAGACAAGTAAAATTACCATGCTAAAAAACGTGCTATGAGCTCATTAGGTGGTTTCATTACACAATACCACTATAAATATACATTTGTGGCCATTTTTTTTTCTATTTGTAGTTCTGAGTTTTATGTTACTTGATAGTTATAATAACTAGGATTCTTGATAGGAATTAAGCGATTCTCACTACAATTCAGCTGTAGGAAAGAAAATACCAAAAGTACCTGTTTTTACATGTAAAAATAGATTGAAATAAATAACAGAGGAAACAGAAAAGGGGTTCACCAAACTATTTTAAATTGACATGTGTAGTGTGATATATGAAATTTACCTCTGTGGCTATAAGAAAATAGACTTTGTTATGTCTAGGTTTTGAAGGTATTTTTTCCCTACTAATTAATTAACAGTTCATTGTAAAATGTTTAAAAGTGTTCAGCAGCAAAACAAGTTCAAAACCTGAAATTTATTCTTTCATATGTAGTTAAAAACAAGAGCAGTAAGATGTTAAAAACATGTTTACAGAAGAGTGCACTACCTATGCTTATTTCTAAAAGGATTTTGTTTTACATGTTTTACAGCAAATGAACTAAAGCAGCTTCGAGAACAAAAACCCCCAGATATAGCAAAGGAATTGGAAAAAGAAAGAGAAAAGAATCGATTGTTGAGTGAAAGACTACACGAAAAGGACACAAAAGATAGAGAGATTGCTGGAAGCAGATCTCCAAGGTATGAACTACGAAGTTTCTCAGAAATAAAAATAAAATTGAGACTTGTCATAATAATTTTCAGATTTTACAAAATTGATTTTTGATTGCTACTAGTAACTAGAACTTGGGATGATGTTTTGGTATGTCAAAACATTTGATTAATCATAGCATATCAGCTTTTTGTGTATAAACCCAATTTTTGTTCTTATGGAAATTAAAGTTAGCATCTGAATAATACTTTCTAATATGTCAAGTTTGGAAATAATTTACTTCCAAATGTCCAAATTCCAAATTTACTAAGAAGTTATAAATTCAGTAAAGCTTGGAAAACACTTAAGTACAACATATATCTTCCACTTTAAAAAAAGATTATGTATGCTAGTGTTCTGTACTTTAGGGCAAAACTTGTAATTTTAGTGATTCAATATTATTGGGTGCCATACAACTTTTATAATGCTTTATTTAACAGTTGCCCCCCCCCCCCCCCAGTAGCTCAGCAATATGTCTAAAGGTTTATAATACTGAAACTGAATTTTAATACTTGTGGTGGGCACAGCACAGGTAGCACATTGTGTAGTTTTGTGCTTTTCAACAAACAAACGCAAAATTTAACAATTAGATAACCCAGAACTAAACTTGTCATTGATTCTCAGAGCATGCTTTGTTTTTATAGATGACTATTTTCTGGTATGTAATATAGTTTACAAATGCTAATATGAAATTATAATGCAGATAACCTAAAAATTTTTAATTTATTGACTAGTTCTTTGCTTTAAGTTTGTAGATCTGAGAATAAAAATGAGCTTGTGTTAGCACAATGATTCTTCCATACAGGTGTGTTTCCTGTACTCCCATCAATATACAATAGTGTGTTGTCTGTCAGTCAGTAGACACTAAAATAACGTCACACAAGGGATGCTTAACATTGTAATTTGTACTGTCGTGATGTCAGTAAAATGTGCATATGGCATGAATGACAAGAAGAATTATGCATTCTGTAGACTACAACACATCATGACGTATGAACTTCAAAAGCAAGAAATAAAAATATTTGTTACTCCTAATTTTGGTTTTATTTACTTTTGAAACAGAACATTTTAGGGAACCATGTTGAAGTACATCTAGTATGTTATTCCTATCGATGACTGAATCATGTCTTATTTTAAACTGAAGTTATTATTTACCAGCAATAACACATACAATAAAAATGATTTTGTAGTGCAACTTTAAAGCTAGTATGGCTTTACTTTTAAATATAGTTTGAAGTCTAGTATTTTGAAGGTCAAACACTTGTATTTCATGAAGCTTTAATTGAAAGAGTGGATTCATTGTTTTGATATCATCAATATGATATGTATTTCAAGTACTGTTTTTGTGGTAAGGGATATAATGTTCCTGTGACTAATTTCATGTTAACTAACTTACTAAATTAGTTGTGAAATGGTTTTAACATAATTCTTTTAGAGGGGGACTATTTAGATAACATTGTGACATCTGCATTGTTTTTACATTTTAGATTGAAGTTAATATAGTGTTCTGATGTCGAATTAATGCAGAATGATATGTATTATGTACATAGAAAATGTGAAAATGCACAGAAAAATAAAAGCACTAAGTTTTGAAAACACAGATGTAACAAGAGCTACTGGTTCAAATTACTGAGTGTTTTTATATAATACATGTGAAAAACATTCCACTGCACCTAGCATTGTCTTAAACTATTTCCTTGGAATAAAGTAATTAAAAAAAAAGAGTTATTAAAATTTGTTTTATTTTAAAGCAATAAGTTACAATGACAATTTGAAGTTTTTCATTTCTGCTAGGCTGAGACGTTTAGTCAGGAGAGAGAAGCACGATCGAAACAGGACGGTAGAAGTTGAAGAAATTCCATCACCATCAGAAAAGGATGAATGGGTAGACATTGCTAAGGAAGTTACTGAAAAAGACTGTCAGTATATTTGATTATTTATATTAAAGTTAATCAATATTTAAACACTTTAAATCATTTTACAACAACTCCTTTATATTAAATATTTTAATATGGTTACAGATCAAGAAGAATCCCCGACTGAGCCGATACCTCCCACAACTTGTACAGGTTGGAGACATTCTCTCAGAATGTGGTTTCATGACTGGGTTTATGATTTCTTTGAAGATTTCACAGAGACTGCAGTGGAAGAAGAAGACTTGAAAGAATCAGAGAGAGAAGGAGATCCTCTAACAGTGCGCAAGTAAATTGCTAGACATAAATTTTTCATTTAACAGGTGCAAGAAAATTGTTAGACATATATAAAACCTTAGTTTACCTCTAACAGTTTGCAAGTAAATTTCTAAACATAAAATATTAGCTTACCTTTAACAGTGTGAAAGTAAAATAAAGTAAATTTTTCTTTTAACAGGCACAATTAAGTTGTTAAACATATAAATTTTTCTTTTAACAGGCACAATTAAATTGTTAAACATATAAATTTTTCCTTTAACAGGCACAATTAAATTGTTAAACATATAAATTTTTCTTTTAATAGGCACAATTAAATTGTTCAACATATAAATTTTTCCTTTAACAGGCACAATTAAATTGTTAAACATATAAATTTTTCTTTTAACAGCCACAATTAAATTATTAACATTAATGTTTCTTTTAACAGCCACAATTAAATTGTTAGACATAAGTAGTTCTTTTAACAGCCACAATTAAATTGTTAGACATAAATTGTTATTTTAACAGCCACAATTAAATTATTAACATAAATGTTTCTTTTAACAGCCACAATTAAATTATTAGACATAAATTTTTCTTTTAACATCTTCCATACAGGTGTGTTTCCTGTACTCGCACCAATATACAATAGCGTGTTGTCTGTCAGTCAATAGACACTTTTAGTTTATCCAAAATATAAAATGAAATGGTATTGTAAAGATTTTCAGTTAATACAAATTTAATAAAAGAACTTTGTTCTAGTTAAAGACTTAATTACTTTGAAGTCAGTCTATTGTGTGGTGGAGAAAGTAGCCATGTGTGATGATATTTTTATACTGGATAATGTGGTGGGGAAAGTAGCTATGTTTGATAATATTTTTATACTGGATCATGTGGTGGGGAAAATGGTTATGTTTGATTTTGTACTGGATTATGTGGTGGGGAAAAGGGCTATGTCTGATAGTGTTTATATACTGGATTGTGTGGTGGGGAAAGTAGCTATGTGTGATAATATTTTTATACTAGATAATGTGGTGGGGAAAATGACTGTTTGATAGTGTTTTACACTGGATTGTGTGATGGAGAAAGTAGCTATGTGTGAGAATATTTTTATACTGGATCATGTGGTGGGGAAAATGGTTATGTTTGATAGTGTTTTGTACTGGATTATGTGGTGGGGAAAAGGGCTGTGTTTGATAATATTTTTATACTGGATCATGTGGTGGGGAAAGTAGCTATGTGTGATAATATTTTTATACTGGATCATGTGGTGGGGAAAATGGCTATGTTTGATAGTGTTTTGTACTGGATTATGTGGAGGGAAAATGGTTATGTCTGATAGTGTTTATATACTGGATTGTGTGGTGGGGAAAATGGCTGTGTTTGACAATGTTTTACACTGGATTGTGTGATGGGGAAAGTAGCTATGTGTGATAATATTTTTATACTCGATTATGTGGTGGGGAAAATGACTGTTTGATAGAGTTTTACACTGGATTGTGTGATGGGGAAAGTAGCTATGGGTTATAATATTTTTATACTGGATTATGTCGTGGGGAAAATGACTGTTTGATAGTGTTTTTATACTGGATCATGTGGTGGGGAAAATGGTTATGTTTGATTTTGTACTGGATTAATTGGTGGGGAAAAGGGCTGTGTTTGACAATATTTTTATACTGGATCATGTGGTGGGAAAAGTAACTATGTGTGATAATATTTTTATACTGGATTGTGTGGTGGGGAAAATGCTGTGTTTGATAGTGTTTTATGCTGGATTGTGTGATGGGGAAGTAGCTGTGTGTGATAATATTTTTATACTGGATTATGTGGTGGGGAAAATGACTGTTTGATAGTGTTTTTATACTGGATTGTTTGGTGGGGAAAATGACTAAGTGTTGATAGTGTTTATATACTGGATTGTGTGGTGGGGAAAATGCCTGTGTTTGATAGTGTTTTATATACTGGATTGTGTGGTGGGAAAAATGCCTGTGTTTGATAGTGTTTTTATACTGGATTGTGTGATGGGGAAGTAGTTATGTGCAATAATATTTTTATACTGGATTATGTGGTGGGGAAAATGACTGTTTGATAGTGTTTTTATACTGGATTGTGTGGTGGGAAAAATGCCTGTGTTTGATAGTATTTTTATTGTTTGTTTGTAATTAAGCACATAGCTACACAATGGGCTATTTGTACTCTGCCCACCCCGGGTATCGAAACCTGGTTTCTAGTGTTGTAAGTTCGCAGACATACCGCTGTGCCACTGGGAGGCAGTGTTTTTATACTGGATTATGTGGTGGGGAAAATGGCTATGTTTGATAGTGTTTATATACTGGATTGTGTTGTGGGGAAAATGGCTGTGAGATAATGGTTTTATGCTTGAATCTGTGATATGAATAAGTAATAATAACAAAAGTTTTTTATTGATTTCAGACTAAAAGAAAATATTTTACGATTTGGTAAGTATGATTTAATATCATATTAATGTTTTAATAAAGTTGTTATTTTAACAAGGCATATTGGGCTTTACATAGCATCAATTAGAGTTGTAATTACTTTCAGTTGTTAATTTAACAAGGCATGTTCAGTTTTATATACCATCAATTGGAGTTGTAATTACTTTCAGTTGTCAGTTTAACAAGGGATATTCAGTTTTATATACCATCAATTGGAGTTGTAATTACTTTCAGTTGTCAATTTAATAAGGCATATTCAGTTTTACATAGCATCACTTGGAGTTGTAATTACTTTCAGTTGTTATTTTAACAAGGTATATTGGGCTTTACATAGTAATAATTGGAGTTGTAATTACTTTCAGTTGTCAGTTTAACAAGGCATATTCAGTTTTACATAGTATCAATTGGAGTTGTAATTACTTTCAGTTGTTATTTTAACAAGGTATATTGGGCTTTACATAGTAACAGTTGGAGTTGTACTTATTTTACAAAACATTTTCATTGCTTTTATGAAAGTAATTAGACATTTTAAGTGTTGTATCTCATTTATGTTCATGAATAATTTATTGAAATATTAAAGTGGGAAGGATAAAGAAGCTTGTATCAATTTTTGTATCACATTTTCTGCATTTTATAACTAAAAGTTTGTACATTTTAGCATTCCTGCAAAGCCCTCAGATATAAAACAATGTTCTAAGTGTTTGGTAAAGTTTTATGACTGAAAAAAAAATTACATTTATCTCAATGTCATAAAGAAATCATATTTTTTTTTCTGTTTTTATCATTCTAAACTTTGTGTTATAATTTTTCACATTGCATTTAATATAAAATGTCTTTGAATTCATCTGATTTTTTGGTTGTGCTTCACATGTCAATTCAGCTGTTAATGACTTATTGTTCATAAGTGTTTCATAATATTTCTACTTGGTTGTTTAAACATGAGTGGGAGTCTTTGATGATATAGTCAAACAGACTGATACTTTTGGCTTGCTTCTTTGTTACATTGAACTTGCACCTAGTTAATGTTTTAAATTTGAAATACAAAGTTGTATTTACTAACAAGTTGACATGGAAGAACAACAAACTCCTTTATAATTTAAAATTAGTTGATGACATTCTATTTCTTCATTGAGATTTTAAAGTTTCATTTATCAAAATATTAAGCTAATTATAATTATTGTTCATTTATATGGTAGGCCTAGTCATGTACAAACACTAACAAGAATGTATTATGGAACAGTTACATGAAAGTTACTCTTATGGCATGTATCTTCTTCAGTTTCATAATAGATTGTTAATATTGTAGCTCATGGTTTCCAACTTGTGAAATGTTCATTACAGAGAAATAGACACACATATGTAAATATGGTCATATAGTGTTTTAACTGTCTAATTAGGTCATCATGAGGCATGAGAAAATAATGATAATTAGGCATGGTAGAAAATATTTTTGCTATAATATGATTTTCTAATAACTTTATAAATAGAATGTTTATTTAAAAAAATTAAGGTTTTTTGATCTTATTTCCTCTCCTCCAATGATAATGTTTGTAAATAGTCAATTATATTGACATTTTGCCTAAATATCATTATTTTCTCATGCCTGATGATAACTTGAGTAGAGAGTTGAAATGTTGCATGGCTATATTGGTGTATGTGTGTGTATTTCTCTTAATAAACGTCTTTACACGTTAGATTCTTAATAGTTTTATCTTGTTGGTAAGTGCAAAAAGCTCCTTTCAAACAGAATTAGTGAAAGGAAATATTATTTTACTTCAATAAAGGTGTATTTTCTCAGGACACATGATAATGTCAGTGTTTATCATTTTATTGTTTTTCATGGAATTTTAATTGCAATAATGTGTTAAGTATCTTTTGCATGTTGTTGTTTACTTGAAAATGTCAAATTATGATCAATTTATCTACAGAGTTACTTGTTTCTGTTGTATTTTTTATTTAGGTTATGCTACAAAACCAATAGTAAATGCTATGGAAAGTTTAACAGGATTGTTACACTGGAATACACCAGGTACAACTCTACTAGCTTTCGGAGTAAGTGTGAAGTTAAAAAAGGATAATTTAATAAAAGGTGATATATTATGAAGTGATATCTAGAGTTAGTGATTTCATGAAAGAAAGTATCAGGAAACTACTCAATATTTACAGAGTATGTATAGACATCAGTAGACTAAACTCAACATTTATCAAACATGTATAGACATCGGTAGACTAAACTCAACATTTATCAAACATGTATAGACATCGGTAGACTAAAAGTTTAGTCTACCGATGTCTATACATACTCTGTAAATGTTGAGAGACTAAACTCAATATTTACAGAGTATGTATAGACATCAGTAAACTAAACTCAACATTTACAGAGTATGCATAGACATCAGTAGACTATACTCAACATTTATCAAACATGTATATACATTGGTAGACTAAGCTCAATATTTATCAAACATGTATAGACATCAGTAGACTAAACTCAATATTTACAGAGTATGTATAAACATCGGTAGACTAAACTCAATATTTACAGAGTATGTATAGACATCAGTAAACTAAACTCAATATTTACAGAATATGTATAGACATTGGTAGACTAAACTCAATATTTATCAAACATGTATAGACATCAGTAGACTATACTCAACATTTATCAAACATGTATAGACATCAGTAGACTATACTCAACATTTATCAAACATGTATAGACACCAGTAGACTATACTCAACATTTATCAAACATGTATAGACACCAGTAGACTATACTCAACATTTATCAAACACGTATAGACACCAGTAGACTAAACTCAACATTTACTGAATGTATATACATCAGTAGATAATGCACAACATTTACTGAATGTGTATATACAGCAGTAAACAATACTCAAAATTTACCAAGTATGTATTGACATCAGCAGACTATATTCAAATTTTACTGAATGTATAGACATCAGTAGACTAAATTCGACATTTACTGAATGTGTATGGACAGCAGTAAACAATACTCAACATTTATCAAGTGTGTATAGACATCAGTAGACTATACTCAACATTTACTGAGCATGTATTGACATCAGTAGACTATATTCAAAATTTACTGAATGTGTATAGACATCTAATGAATGTGTATATATACATCAATAGACAATACATAACATTTACTGAGCATGTATAGACAGCAATAAACAATACTCAATATTTACTGAGCATGCACAGATGTCAGTGGACTATATTCAACATTTATCAAGTGTATATAGACATTGGTAGACTAAAGCCAATATTTACTGAGTGTGTATAGACATCAGTAGCATACAATTTTGAACTTTTTTTTTATCATTTGACCCTTGATCTAAGAGCCAAAAAATGATTTGAAATTGATAGAACTATTTTTGAAAGTTTAACTTGAAAATCAGAGTTTACAAAATTATGCAAGTGCAGATAAATAGAAAATAAAATACAGAATCTTCCTGCATGGTTATTTTATTGATGTAAGATTGTATGTCCTATCAATACAGTTGTTTGATGTAAGATTGTATGTCCTATCAATACAGTTGTTTGATGTAAGATTGTATGTCCTATCCATACAGTTGTTTGATGTAAGATTGTATGTCCTATCCATACATTTGTTTGATGTAAGATTGTATGTCCTATCCATACATTTGTTTGATGTAAGATTGTATGTTCTTTGCATACAGTTGCTTGAATGATGTAAGATTGTATGTTCTTTGCATACAGTTGTTTGATGTAAGATTTTATGTCCTTTGCATACAGTTGTTTGAATGATGTAAGATTGTATGTCCTTTGCATACAGTTGTTTGATTGATGTAAGGTTGTCTGTCCTTTCCCTACAGTTGTTTGATTGATGTAAGATTGTATGAACTTCCCACAAAGTTGTTTGAATGATTTAAACATTATTGAGATATTCATTATACCAAAGAAAAAAATAAATTGTTAATATATTTTATGTTCTTGTACATGAAAATTATAATATTGTAATACTGTTAATGTGCTGGTCATGGATCTTTCTTTTGAAATATTGCAGTGCTGTTAAGGTGCTGGTCATGGATATTTTTCTTATAATATTGTAATACTGTTAAGATGCTGGTCATGGATCTTTGTCTTGTAATATCGTAATACTGTTAAGGTGCTGGCCATGGATCTTTTTCTTGTAATATTGTAATACTGTTAAGGTGCTGGTCATGGATCTTTTTCTTGTAATATTGTAATACTGTTAAGATGCTGGTCATAGATCTTTTTCTTCTACATGGATCTTTTTCTTATAATATTGTAAAACTGTTAAGATGCTGGCCATGGATCTTTTTCTTCTACATGGATCTTTTCCTTGAAATATTGCAATACTGTTAAGATGCTGGTCATGAATCGTTTTCTTATAATATTGTAATACTGTTAAAATGCTGGTCATGGATCTTTTTCTTGTAATATCATAATACTGTTAAGGTGCAGGCCATGGATCTTTTTCTTGTAATACTGTTAAGATGCTGGTCATGGATCTTTTTCTTGTAATATTGTAATACTGTTAAGATGCTGGCCATGGATATTTTTCTTATAATATTGTAAAACTGTTAAGATGCTGGCCATGGATCTTTTTCTTCTACATGGATCTTTTCCTTGAAATATTGCAATACTGTTAAGATGCTGGTCATGGATCTTTTTCTTGTAATATTGTAATTCTGTTAAGATGCTGGCCATGGATATTTTTCTTATAATATTGTAAAACTGTTAAGATGCTGGTCATGAATCTTTTTCTTATAATATTGTAATACTTTTAAAATGCTGGTCATGGATCTTTTTCTTGTAATATCGTAATACTGTTAAGGTGCTGGCTGTGGATCTTTTTCTTATAATATTGCAATACTGTTAAAATGCTGGTCATGGATCTTTTTTCTTGTAATATCATAATACTGTTAAGGTGCTGGCCGTGGATTTTTTCTTGTAATACTGTTAAGGTGCTGGCCATGGATCTTTTTCTTGTAATATTGCAGTACTGTTAAGATGCTGGTCATGTATCTTTTTCTTGTAATATTGTAATACTGTTAAGGTGCTGGTTGTGGATCTTTCTCTTGAAATATTGCAGTACTGTTAAGATGCTGGTTATGGATCTTTCTCTTCTAACATTGCAGTACTGTTAAGGTGCTTGTCATGGTCTTTTTGTGATAGTATTGCAGTACTGTTAAAGTGCTGGTTATGGATCTTTCTCTTGAAATATTGCAGTACTGTTAAGGTGCTGGTCATGGATCTTTTTTTTTCTTTTCTGTATACAAGATTATTTGAAATTTACCTTATTATATATACGATTATAGTGATTTGTTTTTAGTTTGCAGTATTTTTAACAAGGAAGAATTCTCCATGCACTCAATATTTCCTCTTGGCCAACCTTGCTTCTCAGTGGTATTATATAGTCTATTTCAGCCAATAATGATACACCATTTTCAGTCTTATACCAATGACAAAGGAGAAAATTACAATCACAATGTTTTACATGAAATTAACAAGACAAATTGTGTAATAAAGATTAATACAGTCCACTTTAATGCTATTTATCATGGTTGTATTTGGAATACTCAGGACCTTAAACTCAGCTTAAGACAGATCATTTCATTCGAGTAGTTGTAAGACAATAGTATTTACAAGTTCTTCTTCATTCAACCTCAGTCCCTTATAGTTTGGGGGTTGGCTGCTCAAATATTTTGTATTAGTCAAGAATTTTTGCACTTGTGTGGCTGGCTATGACAGGAACCCTAAAGGTGAGCATTTTTGGTGATGGGGATTCAAACTCATGATTCTCAGATTGTGAGTTGAGCACCTTAACCATCAGGCCGAAATAATTCTTCTATACTCTTATGCATATATATATTATTGTTACCATTTACTCCATACTTTTTTCTGAACTTATCATAATTCCTAATGGTATATCATTAAGTATCCAGAAAGGTAATAATTTTTATAGTACTGTAGTTGTTATTATACGTTTATTTATTTTTTTCTGTGTTGAAAATATATATAAATGCCCATAATGCTAATATTTTGTATTTCTGTTTTCATAGTTGAAATAAACATTTTAGGTCTAATTGTTTTATATATATATTTTATACATTAGTCCTTTAAGTAAGTAATTTGGATTTTCAGTATATTTATCTGGGAAATAAGGTTTTTAAGAGAAGTTTCCATAGAATAAACAAAAATCTGAAATACGCATAGCTAACTTGGAAAAAATGGATGTAAAAAAATAGTAATGTGATACGTGCAATAAGGGAAAAAAGTTATTGCATGAGTAAAGTTGTTGACTTCTGTAATGTTTTTTATTCATAATAATAAGTTTGTTTATTTCTGATAAGATGTGAAGTGGATTTATGATGTAAATATATTACTGATCAGTATGAACTTTATAGAAATGCTGAAGATGTTTCGTGAACACAATGTACCACTGTGTTGAGAAACATCTTTGATAACTATTTAATAATAATAATAAAAATATAACTTAGTGTGTATATACCATTAGTTTAGTATTTTATTGGTTTGCATTACATACGTTATTGTCTTGTGTCCTGATGAAGTTCTTGCATTGTAAGAGATAACTTAAAGTATTTTAATATTTTTCAAAACAGTTACTTGGTTTTCTGTATTACATTATGTACTGAACAGTATCTCAAGTGGATTTTTTCAAACAATTGAAGCTGTGTACTGTCAATTATGTTTTTGGTTTAGCGGAACACTCCTGAAGAAGCTGTAAAGCAAAATGTTGAGTGTCCAATTAAAGAATAATAACAGATTTGGTGTTATAAGGTAATTTATTTCTAGTGTTCAAATGCCTTCTATACACCTATATGCATTACAAATATTAAATAATGAATTTTCTAAAGTATTTTCTTTACTTTCTGCATGCAGGTATATATTTATACAGTGTACCATGGTTGGTTTTTGCCTTTACTTCTGTTTCTGGCTAACTGTCAACTGTTGCTCAACTATCTCCAGCACAGGTATGTTTAAATCTCAATATGTGCTTACCATTTGGGCTGTTTTTTGTATAAGAGATCTTTTTCATTGGAGCCAAAGGGATAATATCTTTGCATTTTTCTTTCTGAGGAGGCATCATTTTAGACTCTTTATTTTTATTCTGAAGAAGAAGAAAAAAAGACAACTAATAAAACAAAGATATTTTATAAACTCCCTCTGCATGTTGCTGTAAGATGTAATGATTTTATTAATATTCATAAATGGTGGCTCACTGCATTTTGGTTATTGTTTTGTGGTCAATACGTTATGGCAGAGGGGAGATAAAAAGTGACAGTTATCTTATTAGCTCTTACCCACACTTCACTACTGATGTAAAAATGTTAAAAATGCTCTGAAAATTTGCAAAACTAACCTGATATTTTGATTTTATTGAATTGTGTTTTGCAATGAAAAATAATGTTTTTGAGCTTAGGTTTTCGTGAACACATCTTTTTGTCCGACATATTTTCCATCACAATTTTTATTTTATCTCTGACAGTCCCTTTTTTTTTGTATTATGGTGCTGTTTGTTGAACATGGAACCAATTACAGCAGCTTTTCTGTCATCATTTTCTAATGTTTTTTGTTTGCATGGGCTACTACTTTTTCTGGCTTTGCAAGTATCTTACAATATGTTTTTAAATGGGCATTGCTAGTAAAACATATGGTCCCTGGTACTATGATAGTTATTGCATTTAATTCTGCTATTCATTAGCTGCTGTTTTTAATCTAAAAAAACGTATTTTACATAATTGAAACAATGAAATAATATGTTAAATGATATATAATGTTATGGATCTAATTTTCTGTTTGTGACCATTTAATGAATAATTTTTGAGGGTTTAAGAAGAGTAGAAATTCCTCAAGTTCTAATAAAGAATTAGTTTATGGTTTGTGAATTCACTGTATATAATTTTCTGATACGGAACTTGCCTTCTTTCACAAGATTAGCTATTCTCGTTCAGTGCTGCCCTCTATATGCAAACTTTTCAGAATACATGTCACAAGCCTTATGCACCCATTCTGTGGGAAATATCATTTTCCAACATGTTTCGCATGCAAATCATCATATGTCATCTTTTAACTAATAGTAGCATGACATGCTCATGTGATGCATGTAACTCCCTCTACACTCCTCTACCGAACCTTCACTTCTTATATGGCAGCGTTCGAGTTCAGACTTTTTTTTTTGGCTAGTGCTACCATCTGATGATGGAACATTTTTTCCTGCCAAAAGTGGTTTCTTTTTTAACTTAATTTTTAATTTCTTTTCTACTATAACCCAGTTCAATTTGTCGCTATCTATTTCGGCAGAACTAGATCACTTGTGAGTTCAGTTTTGCATTATGAATTCTGAAGTTCGCATTACCACTTTGGGAGTCACACCAACAAGTAATGTTGTTTCTCAGGTTCGAGTGACATGCTTTTATACCTCAGAAGATTGAATGCTACATGGATTAAATTTTGTCCCCTTACATCACCCAAACTCCTCCTGAATTAGCGAAAATTCTACAGAATGACAAGGATTTTGATTGTCTTTTCCCACCTCCAGAGTTTGCCATTTCTTCCCACTTGCTTCCTGAGGAATCATCTAGGTCTAATTCGATCTTCATTGTTTTTGTGTTTTAGGTTTGTGATGTTTTATCCCTTTCTCCTATACCTTATTCCTCCTACCCTCCTTATTACATGAAACCTCTTCTTAACCATTTTGGTTTTTCTCCCTCCCCAGATATTTGGGTACATGTTGATTACTTTGTCTCTCAATTAAGTGAGGGGATCAGCCTGCCTCAACCCCCAAGGCCCTTGGATCAGCACACCCTTCCTTACCATCATTCTGACTATCCATTTTGGATTAGCAGTTGTTGGGTTCATTGTTACCTCTCTGGGGGCAGCTCCCAATTATAATGTTAGTCTTCCCATGCCCAATATTCTCGCCCTAGTCTTACCCTAACCACCCTGCTACAGTATCTTTCTTCCATACTTCTCCTCTCTGAGGCACTCCACAGAAATCATGCACGTTCTTTCCTCCACATTAGCCCCCATTTCTTCCTCAGCTCTGGCATTACACACATGATTTCTTTGCTGTTGGGACCTTATTGGTAGGGACGTTGTATTGACCCGGGTCAGTTTACCCTCTCCATATCTACAGGACTTACGTCTTGCTTCGTTTTTGAGACGTCATGTCTTTGATACTGTCCCAGAAACTATCAACCTCGGGTTATATCAGCCCATCAGCAATCCACCGTCATGCCGTTTGTTGCCCGTTTGTCTCAGTCAGAGCCTCATATCCCCCTATTCCCATCTCCCGTCCTTCACCTCCTAACTCTTACCTGTTCCTACTAGTCGGGGTACTTCTTTTTGCCCATCAGCAATCCACCGTCATGTCCTTTGTCGCTCGTTTGTCTCAGTCAGAGCCTCATATCCCCCTATTCCCATCTCCAGTCCTTCATCCTCCCAACTTTTACCCATTCCTACTAGTCGGGGTACTTCTTTTTTTCAAGTTCCTCAATGACAAAGCATCTGTTGCCTGTGACTACCCTGTGGGTTTGGGGCTGGTAGGAGCTCGACTGTTGGAATTTCTTCCTCAATGGCTTCCCTTCATCAAGGATCAATGGGTGATACAGGTTCTATCAGAAGGATTCACTCTCCAGTTTCTTTCCCCTCCTCCTCTTTCTTGTTCCATTTTCTTTCCTCTTCCTCTAAATCCCATCATACCCACCAACTTTTTTCTGTGGCAGCTCAAGTGGGCTGGTTGATCAAACTGGAGAAGTCATTCTTTCAACCCACACACTACCTGGTTCATATAGGGGTCTTTTTCGACACTAATATCAGTTGTGCCATGCCTTCTCCTTTACTTTTAGTTCGCCGAGCCCTCTTGACTTGTTCACTTACTGCTCATGAGGTTCTATTGCTTTTGTGGATGTGGTTCTCTATGACTGCACTTATCCCTCTCGGTCATGCCCACATGAGATCCCTGCAATAAGTGCTTCACGACCGATGGAACCTTGCTCGAGATTCTCTTTCCACCATCATCTCCCTTCCTCCTTCCCTGCGAGCTGATCTGCATTGGTGGCTGGACAAAGCTTATACATCGATGGGCTTGTCACTTCTTCTCCCATGTCTGGATCAACATTTGTTCATGGATGTATCCCTTCCATGTTGGGGGGCATGGTTCAATCACCAGGAAGCTTTGGGCTGTTGGTCTATGGACACATCTGTCTTGCATATCAATGTTCTCAAACTTCGGGCAATATGTCGGGCTTTACATCACTTCCTTATTCTTGTATGTCATTGTCTGGTGATGGTTCATTCAGAAAACTCTATGGTGGTGGCACATATCAGTTACAAGGGAAGCACCTGGTCCAGAGACCTCTGTTTTTGAATGTTAGAACTCTTATACTGGGCCCATGCACATCACGATCATCTTATCGCATGTCATGCACCTGGTGCTTTCTGTCTCGTCGCAAATCATCTTTCATGATCAGAACAGATTTATTCAACGATATGGGCATTGAATCCTCTCGTTTTCCAAGACCTTTGCCATCATTAGGGTTCTCCCCAATTAGATGCTTTTGCCACGAACCTCAATTCCAAGTTGCCCCTCTTTTGGTCACCTGTACCGTATCCCCATCCCATGGCGGTTGATGCTTTCAGCCAGGATTGGTCACACATATACCTGTATGTTTACCCTCCAATCTGGCTGCTGCATTCCTCTCCTTGCCGAGTCCTCCTGATAGTATCCTTTCGGTGGGCACAACTTTGGTTTCCCAAGTTAAAGTGTCTGCTCCTGATACCACCAGTTCCTCTTCCACTTCCTCCCTACCTTCTTTGTCAACATCTTACATCCAAATCTCCCTGTTCTCTGTCTTCATGCCTGCCTTTTGTCTGGCCCTTGGTGAGAAGATACAGTTTCCTGCATTAAGTTGCCTCCTTGTTAGCTGGTTCCTTAGGACCGTCTTCCTTAGAAGTCTACTATTGTAGGTGGAAAGTCTTCCACTGTTGGTCTGCTAACAGAGAATTTCCAGCTGACAAGCCTTCTGTGGTTCATGTTAAGGAATTCTTACCTGGCTGTTTGACCATGGTTCTTTGGTCTCTTTGCTTTCAGGATATCTGGGCAGCCCTATCTCATACCTTCCATTTTTCCCGATACCATAAGGTTTTTCCTTTCTCCTGTTCTTACTGGGTTCATGCTTTCCTTAAGAATTTGATGGCTGCTGAGGCATCCTGCCCTTCCAGATTGGGACATTAATGTGGTCGTTCATGCTCTCACTTTACCTCCATTTGACCCACTTTCTTCACGCTCCTTGTTTAATCTGCCCCTTAAAACTTATTTCCTTCTTCCAGTGGCCTGTGGTCATCGACGGTCTCATCTGTTTGCCCTAGACATATCACGTACCCTTTATCACCCTACCAATCTTCTCCTTTATCTCACTCGTTCCTTCTTCCCTAACATCTTGGCAACTCAGGAGGGTTGTTCATTTTCTCCTATTTACCTGCCTTCTATATCCCATCTTTACCATCAGTTGGATCTGGCTAGACTTCTGTGTCTGGTCAGGACCCTTCGTTGTTATATCACATGTACTGCATCTTTTTGATAACACACAACTGGCTATTTATCCTGTGGCAGTCTTCCTACCTTTGTAATCTTTGCCCATCTACCCTTAAGAATCGGGTCTGTCTTTTGGTTCACTTAGCCTACTCTTTCCTGCCTTCTTCCTCCTGTACCTTGTTCCATGTTTCCTCCCATCAAATCAGACATCTCACCTTTTCCCTCGCTTCTCCGATGGAGGAGATTCTTCAATCCGGCATGTGGACCACTCCCTGTACATTCATCTCCCACTATCTTCATTGTATCCTGTTATCCTATGCGTCGGTGGTTCGTCTAACACGTGGCCATTCTCCAGACTTCAGTGCGACTTTAACTAGTCAGTTTTCTTAATTTTCTTTTTTTAGGGGCCTTTTCTCTCATTTTTTTATCATGGATTCCACTCTGTGGCTAGTAGTGCCTGTCCAGTTATTCTTTAACTTTAAATCCGCACTGTCTGCCATGTTGACTCACATTTTCTAGTCCATGGCTACTCATGCTCACCTTAGAGATGGGGTTTTCCACAAGAACACTTGCAGGTGAATAACCTCGTGATGTCATTGCTTCATAAACACACCCATTCCAGACCATATCACTCATGAAGTACATGGGTAAAGCAGAAGGAGTTTGATGCCCATCCCTGCCATGCCTTGCATAAATAACCAGGTATAGTCTGCTTTTCAGAATAGATTTTTGTGTTCACCCATTGCACTGTCTCCAGTGATGACATTTCTCCGGGTTCTCCACCGCATAGTCACTCTCCTTTTTTCGAGTGGAGTATGGGAGCCCTTTCCACTTTCAGTTCCAAACCGCTGGGGTTATGGACCATGGAGGCACCCTCTTAAATGAGTTCCCCAGACAGTTGAGAGTAGGGCGGTGATGTTCTTCTGGTGTAGATGCAACGTGGCCTCCAGAGGAGTTGAGCCATCACCTTGCTGGCTGATGTGGCTTCCTGATCATGTCACACACCAACATTGGAGTTGAGCCATCTCCTTCCAAGATGACGTGGCCTCCCACTACCATTTACACAACTCATGGAGTTGAGCTATCACCTTCTGGTTGACATGGCCTCCTTATCCCTATTATACTTGTGGGAGTTGAGCCGTCACCTTCTAGGTAGATTTGGCCTCCTGCTACTATTTACAAAACTAGGGGAAGTAGAGCCATCACCTTTTGAGATGATGTTGTCTCCAGCTTCCTTTTACACATCAGCTGGAGTTGAGCCATTCCCTTACGGGATGATGTGGCCTCCTGATCCACTTTCAATTCACACTGGAGTTGAGCTGTCGTACTTGCAGTTAACCCTTCGATTGAGTGCCCTCATCCTACCTTCATGTGGATGCCAGTTCCAATGCTAGTGCCTTCTTCCAAACTTCGAAGTGAAGGTTTGGTAGAGGAGTGTAGAAGGAGATGAAGCATGGTGATTTGCATGAGAGACATGTTGGAACATGATATTTCCAACAGAGGGGGGTGCAGAAGGTTTATGGAATGCGTTATAAAAAGTTCGCATATAGAGGGTAGCACTGGACGATAATAGCTAATCATGTAAGGGAGTTAAGTACCTATCGGAAATACATTTTCAGTATAGAAAAATTATAAGTTTTATGCATTTTTTTCATTGTGTTTTGTCTTTGTTTCAGGGGTTGGTTTTCAACTTACCATGTTACAAGAAAAAATGAACAAGAGGTAAGAAGTAAACCTTTTTTTAAATACTTTTGTAACATATAAAAATATTAACTACATATTTGAAAATATTTTTTAAATTATGTTTATAAATATATTTATATATATATATATATATGTATATGCGTGTGTGTGTGACAATGTACATATTAATTTTTTTTTCTGGAACTTTTAAGTACAAATTTAACTTTAAAAAGTGATTTGATGAATAATAATTGTTTGAGGGTTTAAGAAGGGAGTACAAAGGTCATATACTAAAGTAAGACTTGTAAAATGATCAATTTGGTCATACACATACACCTGCCCAGGAATCCTCAATGCTTTTAGAATATTTCGTTCATCTCTGAAGATATTTCAATAAAAATGGGCAATCTGACAGAAAAAAAGCTAAGCTTTTGTCTGGTGCAACAATTTTTGAAATCCAGTAATAAATGACTGGTGAAATTTTGATTCAAACTTAGTTTGTTTATTTTTTTGTAAAAAGGAACAGTTTACGCACAAGCACGTGCGTGTATATATATTTTTAAATAATTATAACTATAAAGCAAATATAAAATAATAATGAATATATAAATTAATAAATAATTGAGGTTAAAATTAACACAGAATAAATAATGCTGTCTCATGAAAATCTGATTTATAAATAACTTAAATAACATTGGTCATTATTACTATTCATATGCTCAATCTGATTCACACTGTAACAGTCATTGTTCATGAAAGTTGATGATATAAATAGCACCTAGACCACTGATACATTTGTTGTATCTCAGCTGGTCTAATGAGATCTGGTATTGGGCGAAAGGCTCATTCATCAGCACTGGATATGGCAGATGTAGCATGGCTGACATATTACAACATAGTCTTCTTTGCTTTCACTCATGGGTTATTAGAATATGGTTTATTATTCATTTTTCTATGACCTGTGACAGTTGAGGTTTACAACTTTGTTTTACATTTTCTGTTATTTCAGTGTTACATTCTCAATGCGAGAACAGTGCAGATTTTTATAATAAACACAATGAAGTTGTCATTTGTTCAGGCTTTGATTTCTATGTAATAGTATATGCTATTATTAATACCCCCTGTATGTGTAGCTTCATGATGCTTTAGTTTTAATTTTACAGCAGAAAATGTCGAAACTTTCAAATGAATGAGTTATTAGTGTTTGTTGGTCATTTTTGTGGTGCCGCAAGTTGTAATCTATAACTTTTAACTCTTATAGGAAGGAGATAAAGATTTGGGAGTTACAGACAAATTTCAGTTAGTTCTACAAGTAGCTCGCAAAGTACAGGTAGGTGTTTTTCTAAAGATTTCTAAGAGGTGATTCCTGATTTCTAAAACTTTTATGAAAATATACTTTTAATTTGATTCTTAAAATATGTGACAGGTCTTCAACTGGAAAGGGTTCCAAAAAGGAAGTATGAAATAGTTTGTCTATTTGTTAAAGAAGATAAAATTCAGATCAAATACTGTTTTTGAAAATGGTCACAGTAAATTTGACAGGAAGTCTTATTCTTATCTTTTATGTTTTCACCATGCTTTTGCTGTTCATATCTATGTTCAGTATATTTGATTTGACAGACAAGTGATAGTTACATTTGTACAGTTAAAGAAAATTATTTTCCATTTGAGTAAGCAAGCACTAACACAAAGACAACATTGTAATCTGTTGATGAAGCTGTAAAAATAAAACACTTAGAAGATAAAAAAATTTTCAGAGCTTAGTAGTCCTTTAGTCAAATCATATATGCTGGAAATACTGCACTTCAACAAAATATTAGAAAAGTATTCCATTAATTATATATGTGTTACCATTCATTGTAAAGTATTTTTTTTAAGAGGCACATTGCATCTTCTTTTAAATTACTTTGATCCTTAAATATTTGGGATTGCCTTAGTGGTTAGCATGAAGATCCAAGGTTTGAGCCACTTCACATGTTCAGATATAGAGGTTTTATAACTGTATTAGTCTATCCTGCTGTTCAGTTATGGCTTTTCACATAATAAGCTGTGGGCACTACTGACTAGATACCTTTTCTCTGGTCAGCAGATCTAAGGTAGGAAAGGCTGTACCAAAACCCAAGGCCTTTCTGACCTGTGTGCTTACCCCTGTGTTTCATAAGGTGACATTCTGGTTGAAAGTATTCAAAGTCCAGTGCAACAAAAATGAAAATAAAACAAAGTTTGGTGGATTATGTATCATTACTACTGATGTAGTGATGTACTTTTTCTTAAGATAATCAGTAAAAAGGTTGTGTCTCGTACTTGTCTTGCTGTACATACACTGAGAAAAAGATTATTGTATTAAAGCAGAGCACTTTTGTAATATGATGCTCAATCCCTAAATGTATAACCTGACTGTTGTATGTCTGTGATTATTTTATTAAAATAGATAACCTGACTGTTGTATGTCTGTGATTATTTTATTAAAACAGATAACCTGTGACTGTTGTGTGTCTGTTGTATTTTTTTTTAATAAAACAGATAATGTGACTGTTGT